CCAAGCACTTGGGCCATCCTCCACTGCCCTCCCGGGCCACAGCAGAGAGCTGGCCTGGAAGAGGGGCAACCGGGACAGAATCCGGCGCCCCGACCGGGACTAGAACCCGGGGTGCTGGTGCCGCAGGCGGAGGATTAGCCAGGTGAGCCGCGGCACCGGCCTCTGTAGAGACTTTTAAGTAGAGAAGAGGAGTGGATGGGGGCACAGAACAGAAGAGAGAGAGGGAGAGTGACAGCAAGCGAGCATGCTTTTGCTCGGGAACAGGGGAACTAGCTGAGTCTCCAACAAACTTTCCAATCTTTCACCACCAAAGAAGCTCAGGCCCTTGTATTTCTTATGGGTATACATTTGGTTGCTAGGATATGACTATGTCTTAACAGCTTTCAGTTAGTGTTGGCACCATCAATTTAGATGGGACATAACAGGAACACTTGAATAAGACTATTCAAGAGATGTTTCCATCAGGGTGCTGCAAATGCTTTTCATGGACATATGCTTTGGAGCTTTGCTAATGACAAATGTAGAAGAGCTGAGAGTCAGAGACTGATTTATTGCCTGATCCCTTAGTAAGCACTGTAGACCTGCATACTGGATAGAATACTTTTTTTCTTTTGCAATGTGATTTTTTTTATTAAGGATTTATTTTTTTGAAAGTCTGAGAGCTTGAGAGAAAAATCTTCCATCTGTTGGTTCACCCCCCAGATGGCCACAAAAGCTTGGGCTGGGCCAGGCTGAAGCCAGGAGCCAGGAGCTTCTTCTGGGTCTTCTATGTGGGTGCAGGAGCCCAAACACTTGGGCCATCATCCTCTGCTTTTCTCAGGTGCATTAGCAGGGAGCCAGATCAGATGGGGCAGCCAGGACTTGAACCAGCACCCATATGGGATGCTGGTATTGAAGGCAGGGGACTTACCTGATATGCAATGTGATTTTAGTGCACACACTTTTCTTTGGCTTTCAAGGTACTGGCTTTATTTTTGTCTGAAGGTTTCCATATATCCAATCCAACCCTTAGTACATGGTAAAACTTGATCTGACTTAAGCATGTGTTTAAACATGCCTGGAGAATGGTGAGAGTGACACAGGCATCACTGCCTCGTGATTTATTACTCTCTTAGTGTCGCTCCCCCTCTTCGTGGAGGAACGACACAGGACCCTGCGCTGTTCTTTTGTCTGCTCAGCCCTTCCTGGGTTAGCTGCTGGTTCTTCCCGGGTTGGCTACCGACCCTTCCACCTCCGTGGAAGGGCGGTTCCCCTTGCCACTTTCCCCACTTCCGCGGGGGAGCGGCACACCGCCGGCCGGCTCTCTCGGGGGCTGCTCAGGTGTTCCTTCAGATAGATGTTCCTGGTGCATGCTGTCTCTCTCCTCCTTTATAGTCCTCTTCCACCAATCCCAACTCTGCTACCCACACGCCAAGTACGCTGTTCTCCTCCAATCAGGAGCAGGTCCTACAGTTTATTGGTTGAACTGGAGGCAGCTGTGTAGAAGCTGTTTCCTCCTCTCCCAGCGCCATATTGTGGGAGAGCAGATGCATAGAATAAGTCTTAATTCCAGTAACAGTCTAGTCTGAGTTGCTCCCCACATCTTAGGGTTCCATCAGCAGGAACTTTTAAATATTTTATTTATTTACTTCACAGGTAGAGTTACAGAGAGAGGAAGAGAAAGAGAGAAAGTTCTTCCATATGCTGGTTCATTCCCCAGATGGCCACAACAGCTAGAGCTGCGCCGATCAGAAGCCAGGAGCCAGGAGCCTCCTCTGGGTCTCCTACTCGGGTGCAGGGGCCCAAGGACTTGGGCCATCCTCTACTGCTTTCCCGGGCCATAGCAGACAGCTGGATCAGAAAAGGAGAAGCTGGTACTTGAACCAGCACCCGTATGGGATTCTGGCGCCACAGGTGGAGGCTTAGCCCGCTACACCACAGAGCCGGCCCTGCCAAATATTTTTAAAGTTGTGTCCTGTTATCCTTTTTCTACATTTAAATGATCAGATACATAGCTAAGTACTTTTCATGTGCAACTTTCTGCAGGTGACACGGCGGCAGTAAGAAGCTACTAGCTTACCATCTAGTTCAGCTGTGTACTGGCCACAAGTATCAAAACTGAGATTTCTTATACAAAATATATTATATACTAGAGTTTAACAATTATGTTTATCAGGCTAAGATAGATGAATAGCAAGCTGGCAAGAACTCCAAGTCAGTAGCTTAACAGAAGGAAAAGTTTATTTCTCACTCACGAGGAGTTGGCTGTGCGCGAGGTCGATTCCCCAGGGCAGCTGTCTGAGGTGCACTGGCTCAGCATTCCCTTGGCTTTGACCACAAGGCACCTCCACATGGACATGCTGTTTCCCCCACCACCACTGGAGGGAAGGAGCAGGCTAGAGAGCAAGAGCCGGCCACCTACTGGCAACTGGACACTTGTACTCAGAAATGTGACTCCACTCACTTCTGCTCCCGTTTCATGGTCAAAACAAGTCATGTGACCGTGGGTAACTTCAAAGGGGCTGGGAAGAGCTGTCTTTCCACTACAGAGAGGCTCAGACATTGGCAAACAGTAATCTCAGACATTGGCAAACAGTAATCCTGCTCATCAACTGTGCAGTAAGGCAAACGCCACAGAAACACTACAAAGAGGGGCTAAGGGCATAGCAGGGCAGAAAGCAACCACACTTAGCGCGTCACAGAATAAAAGACAATTCTCCTGTGTTTCTCTTGGTAAGTGACACTTGCTCACTGCTGCTTCCAGTTTATTGGACTACCAGGAACTGGCTTGCTAGGGCCCCAAACGCAATCCTAGCTCTCAAGCTAGGAGATATGGGGGAGTTTTTTCCATCTCTTCTTTTTATATGGCACCTGGGGGGAAACGGTGTCTGTGTTAGAGTTTCTGGTAAGGTTCTAGAAGGAAGGCCTCAGTTTACCTTCCAATCACTTCTCACTGCTTCTTAAAAACATGTGCATGTTTTGCACAAAGGTCTTGAGAGTGGTTAAACCAAGAGACTTAATCAGTTAATAACGTCTATATCCCAGAGCTGAGATGCTAATTAGCAACAGAGCTATTGGAGTTGCTCCCAGAAACCCTGCACAGGAATAATGGCAGCTGATCATATTGATCTTACATGAATAGGAGGAAAACTGGCCTCAGCATTTGCAAAGTGAGAACACCACTGAACTAAGCAGCAGTGAGAACCCTGGGGTTTTTATTCAGCCTCTAGACTGGGAGAGTCAAAAACCTGTTTTCCTGTTTACTTTGTAGTTGTTTCTTCCTCAATTATTTAGTGAGTACAAAAGAGAGTCTAATTTACACAAATGTTATACTTCTGTACTTTTCTGGTTCATAATTAGAATACTCAGATTATCAAAATATTTTTTGAGTTCTTTGGAAGTATACATGTTCACATGTAAAAAGGCTTTGAACTAAGGGCATAGAACAAATATAATTTCTCCATATTTGCAGAAGTTGGCTGCATTAAGAACCAGGAAGATTCGTGTTGTCAATGCTATATTTTAAGTGAAAACAGGAATTTAGAATATTTCATAATACTGTGACTTAATACACGAGTATTTTTCGAGGTTATTAGAAGAGAGGATTCAGAAACGAATATTCAAGCTTTGGAAGGCATCGAAGCCAAGCAAATACCGTTAAAAAAAAAAAATCCAGAGCGAGCGGCCCTCTCTCCAGGGGGCGGTAGAGACTCCCAGAAGGGCGCCGAGAGAGGCCGCGCCGGTCCTGGCTGTGCCCGCGCCGGGCTCGGGGCTGCTCCCGCGCGGGAGCCGGAGGAAGAGGCGGAGAGGCGACTCCCCGCAGCTGGGCTTTTGCAGGCGGAGACGGAGGCGGGGTAGCAGCCCGATTCAAGCGGCAGCCTGCGAGGAAGGAAGCAGGGCGCGAGGGAGGGACGGGAGCCGTGGGAGGAGGAGCAGCAGCGAGCTGGGCTGCCGCGGCGGCGGGAGGCGGGAGGCGGAGCGGCCGCCGCGGGGCCACGTTTTGTTTTCGTTGTTTTCCAGCGGAATAGTTTTCGCAGGCCCTTCCCGACGACTGACGGCGCCGCAGCCCGGCGGCTCCGACCTTCCAGGTGACAGCCGGTCACCCTGGTAGGAGTCAGCTCCGCCCCGAGTCACCCTCTCCCGCCCACAGCCCCATTCCCCGCCCAGCCTCCCGGTGCCTGCCAGAGGCGAGCGGGGCGGCCGCAGCGGAGCTGCAGCGCCCGAGCGCGAAGCGGCGAGGGCGTTCGGCGTGGTCCGGTGGCCCAGCAGACCCCGGCGGGGCGAGGGGAAGCCCGGTCCGAGGCGCAGGCCCACGGGAGGACGATGCCCATGTAGCCCGTCCTCTCCGTCTTGTTCCGCCTCCCCGCGCTCGCCTGGTTGCCCACGGCCGGAGCTTCGGAGCCACGCACGGGGAAGTGCCGCATGGGGCAGGGCCGCTGAAGCGCGGACTAAGGGGTCGCACCGGGCCGAGGCGGGCTCAGGGCCCCGGAGAGGCTGAGGGGCTCAGGTTCGGCGGCGGCGGCGGCGGCGCCTGGGTTGTGGGAGAGTTGGGGGCGCGCTGCGCCCGGCCGGCTTCCCCGGTGCCCTCGTGAGTTATGGAGACGCCCAGCTGCATTCAGGATGAGCCTTTCCCGCACCCCCTGGAGCCCGAGGCGGGCGCGCCAACGCAGCCGGGCCCCGGGAAGCCGGGAGACAAGCAGTTCCGGCTGTGGTACGTGGGAGGGTCGTGCCTGGACCGCAGGACCACGCTGCCCATGCTGCCCTGGCTCATGGCCGAGATCCGCCGGCGCAGCCAGAAGCCCGAGGCGGGCGGCTGCTGCGGGGCGCCCGCCGCGCGCGAAGTGCTCCTGGTGCTTGGCGCGCCCTTCCTGCGCTGCGTCCCCGCACCGGGCGCCGGGGCGGCTGGGGGTGCGGGCCCCAGCACCGTACAGCCCAACCCCGCGGTGTTCATCTTCGAGCACAGGGCGCAGCACATCGCGCGCTTCATCCACAACAGCCACGACCTCACCTACTTTGCCTACCTGATCAAGGCGCAGCCCGACGACCCCGAGTCGCAGATGGCTTGCCACGTTTTCCGAGCCACAGACCCCAACCAGGCAAGACCGGGGCTCCGAGGCGCGGGGGCGGACCGGACCCTGGGGGTTGGGGGAGCTGGGCGGTAGGGGCTGGGTCCCCACTTTGAGGACCGCCTGTGGTTTGGCTGCTGGCACGCGCGCTTCACGTGGCACGCTGGATCGCCCGGTCTCCCCCTTGCCGGGACCTGGGAGTGGGTCAGAATTGGTACGGGGCTGGGCGAGTGGCCCGAGCAGACGGCCTGTGCAGGCACAGGGGAGAGTGGGAGGAGAAGAGCGGTCCCGGGACGGAGGAGGAGCTGGCGCGCCTGGGGAGGACGCGGAGAGAAGCGCGCGTGCCAGCAGGACCGCGGTGTCTGGGCTGGGACTGGAGGTGCCAGTGTGTGCGTGTGTGCACATGTGTGTAAGAGGGCACGCGGAAGCGGGAAGGGTGCTGGCCACGGGCTCTCCAGCCCTGCACCTTGACGCGTTTGGCCGGTCGCTCATCGTCCCAGCAGCACCTGCAGGTTTTGTGTCCGAGGCTTAGGGAAAGTTACCAGACAGGATCAGATTTGACGCAAAGTACAATTTGGCACCAGTAGCAAGAAGACTTTCTTTGCAGTTTTTTACGCACTTCTTGGAGACAGAATCCATACTTACTTGGGTGATTTAAAAATCAGTATAGGTTTCTAGTATCATTTTAAAAGTGGACTTAAAAAATTTTTTTTTTCTAATAGCCTTCCCCCAGGGGTTTCTTAGTCAAAGTGTTCTGTTACCAAGCAGTAAACATTGACTTCCTTCAAAACAGGTACAATTCTTATCTAACAGCAGGAGGAATCGAACCAGAACTTGACCACAGTGATTATGGCCTTGCATCACAGGAGATTTCTTGTTTAATGTGTAAAGGGTGTTTTTATTTTTTTAATTTCCAACGTGTCCAAAGCTTTCAAGATACGTTTTAAAACGTGGTTGTTTAACACTTGCAAAGTACTTTGGGTTCTTTGGAAAAATAGTGTTGTCTAAATATAAATAAATAAAGTCTCAGATTGCACCATGTGGCGGTTCTTTTGGTAGCTGGGAAATTAATAGTCACAGCAGAAAAACATCCTATAAATAAGACTTTATTTTTTTAACATTACTTCCTAATTCTAGTGTCTGCCATCAAAAGACTGGTTTTTCTGCTAGTTTTCCATGAAAGGCTTGCCGCTGAGCTGAAGGAAACAAAAGTTCATTGTCTTAGATTTTTACTTTATAAAATAGCTTCATACCTCAATAGTCAGAAATCCCAATGTAAAGAGAACACTTCCACGTTTATTAGTTGTCACTTACTACAAATTATTTCAAAATCATAATTGTAATTACATGCATTTCATTAAAGCTTATTTGTCCAAAACTTACTTTTGACTTTCTCATATGTTAAAATTGGAAAGTTCCTGAAAGTTATCTCTGCCTTTGTTATTAAAAATTTCTGGCTTTTGGCTGTGAGGGAGCACTAATTGCGTTTTCCCTGGACTCTGAGGAATACTTCAGGACTCTTGGTGGTTTGTGTTAAAGTTATTTCTTCAGGTCTGACACCTGCCATGACTGCATCTCGTTGATTGTCATGGTGCCTTGAGTTCTCAACAGGGGCTGTTGAGATCCTTCTGGACTCGGTGGTAGGCCATCAGTTAAATGCATCCTTGTATTTACCTCTGTTATTTATGTATGTGTTCGGGGCGGAATGTGCTGCTACTTTACAGATATGTTTAGGCTCATTTTCCCCTTTCAGCCTGCTGGGAGCAGTGGAGGCCATATGGCTTTCTGATTCAGAAAGAAAAAAAAAAAAAGAAAACAATCCCAGCTTTCTTGTTTATTGCTGTTTTCCAACTGAAATCCTTGTCCTAAAGGTATGACTTGTATTTGCTATGAAATGAGAGAATCACAGGCAGAAGATGACTGATTTGAAGGGCAAGCTCGGGTCTCTCCAGGGGTTGCCTCCAGCACAAGTCAGGGATTGCCAGGTCGAATGCCCAGGAAGAGGGCTGAGTGAGACCCAGAAAGACTGCATGGTAGGCATTCTTGCTGAGTGCTGCTTGGCCTCTGTGGAGAGCTGCATGAATGCAATGCACATTCAGTGTTGCTGGGGCTTCTGGTTTTCTCAAAGTGGGTATCTGAATTTTTATGTATGACTCTTCATTTTAAAGCGTTGACAAATGTTTTAAATTTCTAAGAATCCTTTCTGGGCTGAAAAATGCACATTGGAGGGTTGGCTTCTGTGGTCCATAGGCTGCCAGTTTCCGTCTTTGGCCCAAGCATTTGTAGAGTGGATCAGTCCATTCATTGACGCGGTGTGCTGCTTCTACCCTCTCCTGCTGCACAAGGAGTTCCTCCCATGTGGGTCTCATAGCAGGTAGAGTTGGAACCATCAGTTTTGACGAATTTAGAAATCAAACTGCCCAAAGTGATGACTCTGCAGCAGCCGGACCTGTTAAGGGGGTGAACTGGGCACCATGCTGTCAGCCAAGAGGGTACTTCTTTTATTTATTTATTTATTTATTTATTTATTTATTTTTTGACAGGTAGAGTGGACAGTGAGAGAGAGAGACAGAGAGAAAGGTCTTCCTTTGCCGTTGGTTCACCCTCCAATGGCCGCCGCGGCCGGCATGCTGCGGCCGGTGCACCACGCTGATCCGATGGCAGGAGCCAGGAGCCAGGTGCTTTTCCTGGTCTCCCATGGGGTGCAGGGCCCAAGCACCTGGGCCATCCTCCACTGCACTCCCTGGCCACAGCAGAGAGCTGGCCTGGAAGAGGGGCAACTGGGACAGAATCCGGCGCCCCAACCGGGACTAGAACCCGGTGTGCCGGTGCTGCTAGGTGGAGGATTAGCCTAGTGAGCCGCGGCGCCGGCCGAGGGTACTTCTTACAGAGTAGGCTCTGGGTAGTTCTGGGTACCCTGGCAATCAGCAGGAAGAAGACCTGCTGTTTGCTTTGTCCTGAGTTCAGTTCCACATTTGAAGTGGAGAATTACTTTGTGGGACTTGAGATCATTGTGAAGAAAGCCGCTAAGTGTTTCCCAGGGTCACTGAACAAAGTATGGAAGGGCACCTGGAGGAGCTGGCCTGGCAAACTTCCCCAAATGAGCTTGCCTCTGTTTTGTCTCTCATGCCTGCCCCTTTCCTGCAGTAGGCCTATCTGTAGGATGACAATGTAATTACTTAACCTGGAACAGGTGTAACAGGTTATAAACCTGGACCATTCAAGGCAGACCAGGCCATGGGCTCCCCAGAACTGAATGGCTGAGTTGGAGGCCCGTGGCTTCTCATATAAAGTGATGCTATTGATGCAGGCTGTCTACTCACTTATCTTTTTTAAGAGGAGGTCTGTATGTGACCTCAAGAGCTGGGAGGACTGTGAGGCTAGCTGTGAGGGTCTCTTATGGGGAGTTGCCATGGTGATGGGCCCTGTGGCCTGTACCTCCTACGTGAGTCAAAGTCAACTTGAGGTGGTTTGTGAGGAGGAGCACTAGGCCAGAGTGACCTCCAGCACAACCAGTTTTCCCAGGTACACAGAGAGGTGGCGGTGGGGTCAAGTGTATGCGAACACAGGTGCATGCCCTTTAGTCAGGCCTGTGTGGTCTTTCACAGAAGGAATGTCACGCTGACGGCATTTGAACCAACTTAGTTAGGCCTAAACCTAAAGTCCTACTGGCATAAATTGGGTTGTAGACTTAAAATTGGTTGGGAAACCAAGAATATGAGAGATTCTCTTAAGAGCTGAGGTAGGTCACTCATATTCTGCAAATACTTGTCTTTATCTGGTCTCAGAAAGAGGCTGTATAACATTATTATTGCAATTTGTCTATTGAAATGAGTTGTTTTATGTTTATTGTACCATAATAAAAACAAATAAGGCAGTTATTGTTTCTAAGTATTAGAGATTAATGGTGTTAACATTTGCATGCTACTTTAACTGCATGATTGTATTTTGCATTTACAGAATGAACAGTCATTTAAAAGGCAAACATGATATAATTTTCTTTGGTTGTGTTTATTATATACTATTTCTTAAAGCTTGTAAGAATAAAGAAGGCTTGCAAGAATGACTTCTAAGAGACTTTACAAAGTGTTCTTAAAATTAAAAGAAAAATAAATTTAGCACAAATTCCTTCTAGCTTTTAGTTCTGTGCCTGCAATTTATTTTTCCTCTTAAAATATCTAGTGTTGTCTGAGCTTTATTAAGATAACCTGTTTTCAACTTAATTTTTGTTAATATATTTTAACAAGGCCATTTCTCAGTTCTTATTCCTAGTTGATGGTCAGTGGCTTTGGGGATATACTTGTCTGAAATTTGTCAGTCTCTCTGCTTTCATAGTTTGTCCTATGGACAGGTAGATCCGCCTCTTTTCTCATATGCTGTCGTTGTTTTTGGTTCTCTCCTTTCCCCGTAGTCTCAGGTGGAGGTTAATCTTCCTTAGTTCTACCAATTTTGTCAGCCGTGGTGCAGGGCAGGGTAAAAAGGTGTGCGGACAGCCTCCCAGCTGAGCACCTTGTGGGGGAAGCTTGATGCTGGATTGAGGCTGTTGAGGATCAGGGCTTGAGTACCACTGAATCACAGGTTCTCCAACTTGAGTGTTGTCCGTGCACTCACCTGGAGGAGGGGTTGCTGGGCCCTTCCCTCAATTTCTGATTCTGTGTGCTGGTGCTGCTCAGACTACTGCCCTGGGGTTATGGCTGCAGAACCACTACTCGAGATGATTGTGTTCATTTGCTTGATTTTGTGAACATTTCTGTTTTCCTGGTTATTTTTGCAGATGTTGTCAGATTTGAAAATTCAAAGTGAATGTGAGGAGTAAAAATATTTAACTACAGGAGATTTCTAAGACAATTTTTAGCTTAGTGCTTTCCCTGTGTAGCATTTATTTTGTCAGGTATTTTAAGCCCATGCATATGTTGAGGAAAACGTTGTCGTTCAGTCAAAAGTTTTAAGTTCTGCAGATGGAATAAATGGGAAATACAGCCTAATATCTGATTATGATGGCTTTTGTAAAACTTGAAGCCTTATTTATTTGCATTCAAATTTTCATTCTGCATACCCTATTCAAAATCTCTTGGTGTGGAATATGATAATTAATTGCTT